CGCAAACGAGGATAGATGTAGATGTCTATGGGCCACAGCAACCACTTACCACCAGGTGGACTGTGTGCTCGTTTGTCACCCAATCCTATAAAAAAAAACTAAGTACTTGTAAATGTTGTGATTATCTCGATGTAACATCACAATACAGTCAGATTCTCAAAAACTTACAATTCGAGTTTGCTGTAAGGATGGGATTTCAATTTGCGACTCGTGGCGTCGCTTAGTACTCAACACTATGCTACGTGATCGTCAGCATTTTCAAGGTACGTAAGGAATATGATAATAATGGATATCTGATGACAGCATCAAGGAAATTGTAATTTAATACATCGCGAAGATATTAAATATCATACGGAATAAAAAATACTTAGACGGAGGACATGCCATATTTCACCAATCTGCATTGAAACATGGTAACTGTGCCAACATAGCCTTAATATAACAACAAATAAGCTTCAAATATAAATAAAAAAAGCATGTTCATTGCGTGACTACAGGTCAAATATAGGATCTTAAAAATATTTTCATGTACATTTGTTCTCCAAAGGTACAATATGAGTGTTAACTATCTTTAATGATTACGTGTATATATTTAAATAATAATGTTATTATAACTTTTTTTTTTACTTGATTAGAAACGAAGTTGTTGTTACAGTGTATTACGTCAATAGATTCTGAGCGTTAAGAGAAACATTAACATATTAATTCATTTGCATAGACGATATCATCAGTAATAAAAGATGTGAGTGGAAGGTAAGGAACTATGATCGAATCGATTAAGAAAGATGCAACGTTATTCATTAGTCACATTGATCAACGATTTTCAAATGATTGATTAGAGATTTTATCGTAATACTAGCTGGACTGACATACGTTGTACTGATTTTTCCGGTAGGTGGCGCTAAGAGTTTGACTACAGACTATTACGATGTAAGTATAAAATTAATAACCCGACCACGGCAATACTTACACATCGGGTCCAGATTTTGTGATTTTGTTTTTTGGCATTGAAGCTACTTATAACGTGATTATCTCGATTTGATCTAAAAATATAATATAATTTGTTATGAACCATCGTCTAGAGAAATCATAATTAATATTATATTGCGTACCTATATGACTTCAATCGATCAATTCGTTAAGAATTTATACGATCACTAACAGACGCACCAACGATTATATGAATAAAAAAATTGTCTGCAAATAAATCAAATCGCAATAGGCCTTATTGTTATAGTTTTTGAGGTCCTCTATTATCTCCTTCAAAAAAGGAGGAAGTTAATAATTCGACTGTATATTTATTGTTACGCAATACTTTCGTCAATTATGAACCGATTTTAATTATTCTCTTTTAATAAATACTTTACACTTTATGGTGGTCCCTAATTTAGTGAAATATTTCCGCACATAAGTGTGGAAAAAAGTGGATGTTGTCTTTTAGACGTCGTTGAGATTGTGATATTCCATAGTCCATTACAAAGGATAAAAAAAAAACTTTTATATTCTGTACACTATGTCTTAGCACCGACTTTAGAATGTGAAATTATGTTATTCTTTTTAATTCTCTTTTGATTTATATCAAGTACACGAAAACTGTATAGTATATTTAGTGGTAATATAGAGTTTATTTTCTATGTTTTGCAAGCTATTATACTACTATCCTACCAGATATTTGTGCTAAGCTTAAACATGTCTTAAACAAGTGGGATGCGGGGAGTAGACTGTGTAAGAACCTCCGAAGGAGGGGGAGTTATAGCAGAAATAAGAATTTTAATTTTTTTAGTTTTTGGCCATTTTGACCCCTAAGAGTGTAATGAGAACTTTTTGCCCCTATTCGATCATGGCCCCCATGACATCCTCTACATGATAGGCTATTCAAACTCTTTCTAGTCTACTTCCAAAGAATATTAATACAAATACGTATTATTTTAAGATTGTAAAAACTGATGTATTCTGATTTATTATCTCCTCAGCAAGTCATACCCTAATGGAGTGATAATGCAAGGAATTGAAAATTGAAATATAAGGTGCGCCTATAATTAATTTGACCTCCTTATTCAAAGCGGTCAAGACCACGATTAATGAATACTTTAAAAGTTCTGTCTTGTCAGAATTCAGTGTAGATAAGCGTAGATCAATTCTATAATGTAGATTTTCCTACAGTCCTGATTAAAGTGGAAGCTGTGTCTCACAGACGTCGATTTCCGAATAAAATTCATAATGCGAATGGGTTATTATCGCTAAGGCCTAGCAGTAAAAACGTGGTAGAGCCATGCTCCAGCTATATTACTGGTATAGTTGTAGCACGAATGGGTTGGCTCGACCGGGGGAGGACCACGCTCTCACAGAATGCCAGCGTAAAATAGCAGCCTAGCGCTGCTGTGTTTCGTATGGGGAGTGTAGAGGTTTTCCGGAGACCCTCCAGCGTAAAACAGCAGCTTAGTTCTGCTGCGGTTCGTATGGTGAGTGTAGGGAACCGGAGACCCTTTTTATTGGAAACAAGGCATTCCATCTTAGTCTTCACGCGTGACAACGCATCTGCATTTTGATTTATAATCGAGAATAGGTGTAGATGTCTATGGGCCACAGAAACTATTTACCATCAGGTGGACTGTGTGCTCGTTTGTTACCCATACCTATAAAAAAAAGTTTTTTTGTTCTCGTTGACTCACCGAGCAATGCATAACACTGCATTTTACACTGATAGGTACTCTGTGAAATTGTGATCCATCTGATCTATTCGTGCTGTAGCCATTATACAGCTGCAGCGTGGTTTTATCACGTATTAGTTTTTACATTATAACGGCTAATACGGCTGTATTGTAAATTCATTCATTCATTATAACCTATTTAAAGTACACTGCTCAACATAAGCTTCCCCCATAGATTGCTTAATATATTTGTCTTGGGAGGCGAATACGTGACCGCAGTTTTTTTTAATTAATTTGAGATGCTGTTGCTCATCACCTATTTAATTACGTTATGGAGATGTACACGTATATGGGAGATATAGAACAAACAAATTATTTCTGTGGCCAATCAGAAACTCAGGCTTTAATTTATATATATATATATATATATATATATATATATATATATATATATATATATATATATATATATATATATATATACTAGCTGACCAGGCAGACGTTGTTCTGCCCTTTTCTGAGATGACCCTTTCTCCAATAAAAAAATCCTTAAATTCCTAATAAAAATGTTAAGGGTCGGGATAAAAACTATCCTATCTCTCAAGTTGGACCAAACTGCACACAGTGTGTAAAATTTCATTGAAATTAGTTCAATAGTTTAGGAGTTCATCGCAGACAAACAATGTGACACGTAATTTATATATATAAAGATTATATAATTTCGGTTATATTAAATTGTACGTAAGGGCAGGGTAGGGGCAGGTAGAGTGGGCCGTATTGCTTCGTTTTGCAAAAATAGCTATTGGTTTCTCACGACATTTTCCTTATTGGTTCCGGCGGAAATTGTACTCGGTTTGTTCGTGTTTTATAAAATAAGACGTGCGCGATTGATTTTAATCAAGTAGAAATATGAATAGCCAAGTTACATTTCGCTCTGTTGCTTTTTACGACACACAGCTGAATTTTGTCGATGGAATACCGTAATTGTTCTTAAATTAAATCTACATAGTAATTCAATTCCTATTAACGATGTCGCCCATTAACCAGAATAACGTCCGTCAAGTTTGTCGATTTACTCATGCTTTACTTAGAAAACATTCTTAGCCATATCACGTTAAATTTATTTTGACGTGAAGGTCAAAACTTGTGAACTTCCATTGATGGAGTGTTGACTTTACAGTTATTAAAAATAATGTGTAGTTCATCCTAGGAGACATTCTTTATGAGTAATACGTTCCAAACGATCCCTCTCAAATCTACTATTTGTCTAAGGAATTGGTTTTACTATGTTGGTGCTATGAGATCACCGATCGAGTTAGCCGCAGGAGTATTATAGGTCTGATGCCGGAGGTGGAACATACAGTCTATGACAGCATTCAAAAAGAACTGCACGTTTGCTCGTACAATTAGCAACTCTTCAAAGCCGGGTCGCGATCGGTAGTTTTAACAAAATATTTAATAAAAGAAATAATGTGCCGTTTTATAGTGTAGGCTAGATAAATTGGTTAAGTGTTTAACATTACATACGGAAGTGTAAAAAATGGAGTTTATCAAAAACTTGTGGAGGCGTTATTTTGGACGACGTCAGAAATACATCATTGTGCCGTTTCAGCCAGGTAATAATAAATCGGAGGAAACATTTTTTATTTTCATATAAAAGTGCAATATGAACGTAATTTGGTTATGTTATTTTATCGATTGTTAGATTGGCTGAAGTCCAGCAGTGGAGGTGCGACAATTGAACGATGACGAATGCGTTTATGAATGAATACATCTATTTTTATGTACGTGACTATATAGTAATAGTACAATAAAATATGATAAGCTTTAGCTATTTTTATTATTTTGAGAAATATTTGTGTGAATGTATGTTAACAATCATCAATGAATATATTTTTTATTGTATACCAACACACATTAAAACGTAAACAAAATGAAATAAATTATATAGAAGTTACAATAGGCGGCCTTGCGGCCTTACGGCCTTATCGCTCTGGAAGTAATTTTTCCAGACAACCTTTTTGCGCAAAGAACTGTTGTTTACAACGAATGGCGAATAGGGAATATGTGCATAAATTAGACAATTAAGTAAAAGAAAAATGAATAAATAAATATAAAAATACAAGATTATGACAGGATAGGTATGATAGATACAATTAAGGACGGCAATTATGATGGGAAATATTAGAGCTCCAAGTAATAAGCTTTGAGTAGATTTAATAATATAAAAAGAAAATATTATTAATATATATATAATATAAGAATAACAAAATGACTTTTTATTTACCTAATATGCCATGTATTTGCTTTACATTATCATTGGTTGACAGTTGCTATTTGTTTATTCAGATGTCAACGACGGAACGAGACAAGGCGTTCTCGCCGTGCAAGGCATCGACTTCTGCACCGAGACAAACGGGGAAAATCATCACACGAGTAAATTTAACTTGATGTCAAGAAACGTGGACAGGTGTCTCGTTGTGAGGAGAGGCCAGGCTTTTAAGCTTGATATACTTCTGAACAGACCTTTTGATGCTAACCGAGATGCTATTTCTTTTATCTTTTATGTTGGAGGTTTGTTTTATTTTTCATCATAGTGTGTAATTATGCAGTTTTAGGCAAAGAATTTGAATGAAATTTTTGTGTACTAATTACTTTATGAAACAGATGTTGAGCAGCGAGGGCCATCCGGCGATACGTCCGCGGCGGTACCGTTATTAGAAAAAGGCTCAGAAACCCTAGGAGCCTGGAGTGCAGTATATGAGGGACAGGTTGACTCACATTTGATGGTAGCTGTAACGCCAGCAGTCGAATGTATAGTAGCGGCTTGGCGAATCGACATCGACACGAAGCTGATCGGAGGAGGGTCTCTAAGCTATACTCATCCACAACCAATATATATCCTCTTCAATCCTTGGTGCTTGAATGACAGTGTGTATATGCCAGGTGAGTTAAAATTTTTGGTACGCGAAAATAGGTACCTATAATTTATAAGACTATAGAAGCAAGGCAAGGTACTATTTTTCATATATTATAAACAAAGAGCACAGTCTTATTACTAACTTGATGCTTAGGAATGCAACGAAAGGATCTTTTTTTACACGATAAGGGGGACAAACGAGCACACAGTCCACCTGATGGTAAGTGGTTGCTGTGGCCCATAAACATCTACATCTATTCTTGATTACGAATCAAAATGCAGATGCGTTGTCACCCGTGAGGACTAAGAAGGAATGCCTCGTTTCTAACTAAAAAGGATCTCCGTTTCTCTACATTCACCATCCGGAACACAGCAGCGTTCAGCTGGTATTTTGTGAGAGCGTGATTCTTCCCCGGTCGAGCCGATACATTCGTGCTATAACTATACCAGTAATATAGCTGGAGCATGGCTCTACCACGTAATAAAACTAGAAGTAACTGTTGGCAAAAATGAAGAAACCTTCCATTATTTATTCGACTACAAATACTAACGTAAGAATTCTTAGATTTAAATTTATATTTGCTAATACGTACGCTAAGTACTGTGTATAAAAAATAAAGAATTTCATAAACAAACAGAGTTTGTTTGTTTTATATACATAGATATCTAATATTTTTGATGTGTGACTTACAAAATTACACTACATTTTTACAAATAACCGACTAACGACATGTATTTGGAAAATATTATATATTTAACTCAATTTGTTAGTTACTAAAAGAAAATCATATAACTTTCAATATTTTTTGCTTTCCTTCCTACAATGTAAGTTAAGAGGAATTTTTTTTGATTTTGTTTAAAGGACCCAATCATCGAGAAGAATATGTCCTAGAAGACGGTGGTCTAATGTACCGAGGAGTGTATAATCGCATAAAGCCTACACCGTGGAACTATGCGCAGTATGAAAAGGATATTCTGGACTGCGCCTTGTACCTGGTTAGGGAAGTTGGAAAGGTACGATTAACACTTCGTAAAGGTACTAATTAAGTTTTTTTGACAAGCGAGCGTACAGCTAAGTGGCCTATAGACATCTATATTTATCCTCGATTCAGAGTCAAAATGCAGACGCCTTGTCAGCCCTAAGAGCTAAGATGGAATGCCTCGTTACTAGTACAAAGGATCTCCGGTTCTAAACACTCACTATACGAAACACAGCGATATTATTCTGATGTATCACGCAGGCATATTACGTGAGATAGAGCCGACCTTTTCGTGCCGCAGCCATAGCTGTAGCGTGACTCTACCACATATAACATGTGGTTGAAAAATGGTCTCAGACCCCACGATACTTTCGCAACTATGTGTTTATTCGACGGAAAGCTTAGCCTATAGTTATGTACTGCTGAGTCATGTCGCTATTATATGTTGTCATCACTAGAGTAATATTTCAAAAATAGTTTAGCTGTGACAAATATAGTAATTACCAGTTAAAAAAGCTCACAGATCAATTAACTCCAGTACTAGTTGCAACATAGATTTTTTCAGTAACTGTATACAGTAACTTAGAAAACCTAGAACAACGAGAAAATTGTCGTATGTGTTTTTGATTATTATTAAATATTAAAGAACATTTTCTCTAAAGTTATAAAGGCAAAGAATTATTTACATTTGTATTCTTAATACTTACACAAATACAACTTAAAGAAATTCCCGACTTCTTAAATACATTATTTATATCCAACATAATTATTTCGTCACTAGATGTTAAGAGCAATGTTAGCTCAAGGACTGAGCGCTCGCTGAAAGTTGCACAGTACACACACAAACCGGGTTCGATCCCTGTCGGCACTAATGAAATTGTCAATTACAATTTAAGTGTTGATTTATCACGTACTTTGCAAATGAGAAAAATGTCGTGAGGCAACATGCATGTCCGACAATCATTAGAAAAGGAAGGTAATCGATTGGTAGCTCGGACAACCCGGGCTCGAAGACGCGTTGATTTCTCTGAGCCAAAATATATATTTATGATGTAAAAACGGTTAAAAACAAGATAAAGAGCTTGACGTCATACTTCTCAAAGGAATATCAAAAAGTTAAGATGAAAAGGAGTGGGGCCAGAACAGAAGATAATTACGAATCTTCGTGGTTTGCCTGACCGAGGTGCGTGAGGTATCTATAGACGAGTTGCATGCGAAAAGCGCACGGGTATAGACGATAAGATGCATGTGTCTTATGGCACAGCGCTTGACGCAAGACGAACTGAAAGTTGAAACGCAAAATGAACATGAAAGTGCACTGGTGTAGACACAGCTTATCAACATGGATAAAACCTCCCAACACTAAGAGAGACTCATGTTTAGCAGTAAGCTGTTCAAACCTGATGAATACTAGTATACGATTATTTACTCGATGATTTATCGTTAATGCAGTTAGTTACAAAACTTGCGTTGATATCTTCTTGTAAATTCCTATTGATTAATGTAATATGCATGTTGCAATTTATTTGCAATTATGTGTAGGAGGGTCGGCGTCTGCGCCTATATACATTCAAAAGATGTGTACCTTATATAAGTTGTTTAATGAATCATTTTGTTAACTTTCTAATAATTAGACATATATTCTATTTGCGGCTTAGTTTTTTAACATTACAACCCTTTTTGTAAAAAATTAGTATGTTATTTTTTTGGAATTTAGGAAGGATCAAAATAAGTATACAACATGTATTATCATAATAAAAAAAATTACACTTAAAAATTAAATTATCGTACAGTAATACTGCCTACTACTACGATATAGTGCCAAGAAATTTGGCTGCGTTTCTTCACTAAATAGCATGAAATTTGCCAGAAATAAACCAGCCCTCTTACCACCAGGTAGGTCAACAAGTCACAGATGCAGTTCCTTTAGGAAATTCATCGCACGATCCACGTGGGTGGTATCTAGGAATGTTTTATTTCTTGAGAATTTTACTATTTCAAATAGATTTTATATGAAATAATTTTATTGGATAGTATATTTCATGTTCTGTGCTTCTATGGCAACGCGGCGTGTCCACCGTCAACTTTCGGTTTACTTGCAATAATCTTCTGCAACTGTTTAATTAATCAGTCGTTTTTTTCAGACGAAGCACACATAGTTGTGTAAGTAAAATAATAAAAACTTGTATTAAAATGACACTATTTTAATATCATATTTATTATGATATTACAATATTTTGGTACAATTTAATGACGTCTCAGGCACGGAGAATAGGCTGTTAAAAATTGAGCCCCTTTCCGCCATAGTATGAAAAATACTGCTGAGATTGATGCGCACCTGCCTTTACCACAGAATAAATAAACTTTACCACAGAATAAATAACCTTTACTGAGAATTTCCCCTTTTCCGCGTTATAGTGTAAAAAACAAAAAGAATTAAATAGCGGAATCCGAATATGCAACTCATGAATGATTTATCGTTGAGATCAGTCATGTCCATTTCATTTATAGTTTTCTATTAGCGATGACGCTAGTAACTAAGTCAACTTGGCTAAACTCGCAGTGCGCTCTTCCGCGAACACCCCCTGAGGCGTTTCAATATCACGGCATGCACTGCCTGCAATCAGTACCTTAAACGCGTTTTTATATTGGAAGCGTAGGGTACCGTAAACCTTTTTAGTATATTCGATCCACGAGCTTCAAATATAATAGGAATATTGTTATTTTAAATAACTTTCACTTTGCAAACCTGCGTATCATCATATTATAATTATTGATTTATTATTTAAAATTGGTCTCACCTATTCCCTATTAAATCTGAAGCGAAATGTATTAACAAGAAAAAGTTCCAAAAAAAATGTTTGCAAAATATAATCTATATCGTTTGCCTTTTTAAAAGGTATCAAAGTTAATATAAGAATATTTACGGTTGGTTTGATAGTTGATGAACTTTATTTTATCCAGGTCAAAGGCCGCGCCAGAAGTGACCCAATAAGGACCGTTCGTGCTCTCTCCGCTTCCGTTAACGTGCAGGACGACAACGGCGTATTATTTGGCAATTGGGGTACGGAGCTCAGCGACTACAGCGGCGGCACACATCCTCTGAAATGGGTCGGCTCATTATCGATACTGCAAAAGTATTACGAGAAGAAGAAACCTGTGAAATATGCGCAATGCTGGGTTTACGCCGGAGTTTTAACGACTAGTATGTTTTGTTCTTTAATTGTTAAACGTTTTGGAATCAGTAAAGTTTCATAATAGTTTCTTACAATTATGTTCATACTAGTCATCCGATACAACTTATTATTTTACGAATTTTGTTGCTATTCTTCAGATATGATGAATAATCAAACAGGATACCTAACATATTAGTTCATCCGTGGCCATGGGCGCTGCAAATTTCTCTTAAAGTTACAGCCTATGTATACGAGTATACACAGGCACAGGCCTCATCTCATTTCTGAGTCCAAGGAAATGTTGGCGGACTTCACATGTTTTCGATTTTTTTTCTTATTTCTCTGACATGTAGGTTCCCAATGTTCTCCTTCACTGCCGAGCACCTGGTAAATCAGCACTTAAAATTGCAATTAAATATTTCATTGGTGCTGGCGGGGATCAAACCCTGGTTGCTCGCGTACTGTGAGCCACTACCACGGGTTTTTTTCTTCCAAGTTCTCTTAATAATTACAATTTGAAATGATTAGACGTGATAAGATAACAAGTAATAATTTAAAATTAAAAATTTTGTACAGCCGACTTCAATATAAATTATTAAGAATAACTCAAAAACTATTGGTCTGACCTTGATCAAATTCATATAAGACACATATGAAGTACCAGCTTTTAAATAAAAAAGAATCATCGAAATCGGTTCACCCAGTAAAAACATAAACACACATAAAACATACAGTCGAATTGAGTATCGTCTCCTTTTTCAAGTCGGCAGATAACTTAACTAACTTCGTCAGTCCCAAAGAAAGTTCATCACAAGTAATTTTTTCTTATATAAAATCGCTGTTTCTATATTTCGGTCTTAACCAAATCACATGTTGCACAATCACATTGCAATAATGACATTTTTTCCATAGTTTGCAGGGCTTTAGGTATACCTTGCAGACCGGTGTCTGGTTACGACGCAGCTCACGATAGTCAAGGAAGTCTTACTATTGATATAATCAAAGACGAAGAAGGCAATACGTTGGAAGAATTTACCAGAGACTCCGTTTGGAATTACCATGTTTGGAATGAGGTGCGGTTTCGTTATGAAATCTATTTTTATTAACTAATACGACTTTTTTTGCTTTAATCGCTTTCAAAATCTTTTATTATATCACTGGACCATCTGGCATTGCGACCTACAAATGCCAATATTAAATTGATCATTATAACTCAAGAATAACTCAGGATAAAAATATACGCGTTTGTGTTTTAGCTGAGAGAGCCGGCATACTTATTATTCTGGTGTATATTGCTCAGATTATAGAACAAAATTATTCGTGTTTCGTATCTTGCGTATCCTAAAATAATTATGAAAATAAGTTTCGTACGTATGAGTTTAATTTTTAATATTTGGTTCTTCGTAACTAGTGAGTTTTGAGGCGTCCAATTTAGATAGATAGTCTTTTATTTATATGTTACAGCGCACACACAACTATTGAAAATAACCTTAAAAACAAAAACTTAAATAAATAAAACATATTATGCAAGGCATAATTTGAAGCTAAGCACTGATTTTCAGCTACTGCCTGAAGCACGCTTGCATTATTTCTGACTATTATTATTAGTCAGAATAATCGAAATAAGAATCAAATTATAAAAAGTTAGAGAATGATAATTGTACATGTAATAAAAGTTAAAAAAAAATTAGTGTGTAGTTATTTGCTGTTAATTTAATTATTCAATTGTTAATACTCGTAAATTATTTGTTTATTAATATTTATGGCTAGCTAATAACAATTATAGAATACGGGTGACAAACGAGCACACGGTCTACCTGATTGTAAGTGGATACTGTGGCCCATAGGCATCTACATTTATCCTTAATTAAGAATTAAAATGTAGGTGCGTTGTCACCCTTGAGGACTACAATGGAATGTCTCGTTTCCAGTAAAAAGGGTCTCCAGCTTTTTCTACACTCACCATACGAAACACAGAAGCTGCTATTTTATGCTGGTATTCTGTAAGAGCGTGGACCTTCCCCGGTCGAGTCGACCCATTCGTGCTACAACCATAATATGACTGCAGCGTGGTTCTACCACGTATATATTTCTTTATAATATATTCCTTTGTAATTTCTTGCTTCGTTGTCGTAGGTTTGGATGGAGCGACCAGATCTCGGTCCGGAGTATGGTGGTTGGCAGGCTATCGACTCTACACCACAAGAGACATCCGAGGATGTCTACCGCTGTGGCCCAGCTTCCTTGCGAGCAGTTAGGGAAGCAGAACTCCAGCGACCATATGATGTTTCATACGTCTTTGCACAAGTTAATGCGGATAAGGTGCGTGTTTTTAATAAACTTAAAATGGGAGGAGATTATTTATTCAACACTAGCGATCTGCCCCGACTTCGCATGAGTGATTCTGATCTGTGATCTAGATCTCGTCAACGGCGTCAGCTACTAGGTCCAAATATGAATCTAAACCATCTAGGGACCCAAACAACGTTTTTGAGTTTTTTTATAGGATAAGGGTGACCATAAAAATATTAGTATATGTATGAGGGTGACAAACGAGCACACAGTCCACCTGATGGTAAGTGGTTGCTGTGGCCCATAGATATCTACATCTATCTTCGATTACGAATGAAAATGCAGATGCGTTGTCACCCGTGAGGACTAAGATGGAATGCCTCGTTTCCAGTAAAAAGGGTATCCGGTTCTCTACACTCACAATACGAAACACAGCAGCGTTAAGCTGCTATTTGACGCTGGTATTCTGTGAGAGCGTGGTCTTTTCCCGGTCGAGCCGACCCATTCGTGCTACAACCATAATATAGCTGCAGCGTGGCTCTACCACGTCTAAAAGTTTTAGCGAGACAAAAGGATAGCAATTGATTTATATATATAGGAATCTGTTTTTAAAGTCATTATATACATCTGACACACTAATAAATAACATCAAAGTTTATATTTTGTTAACAAACATTATTTAAAGAAATATAACACGAAGACCACGGGAGCCACTGTGACGATTTATTTTGAAGATTTGACTATAAATTTGCCTTTAAACGTACCTCAGAAATGATCTGTGTGTTTACGGTTATTTGTGACACATGACTGCACTATGACATCAAAGCCAAAGAGTGTTATAATTACAACGTTGTGATATGTTCGGTTAGAGACTTTAGTAATCGAATGAAATGGCTATGTAAAGGAAGTTTTCCATTGCAATTAATCGTTTGAAATAGCTACGTAAATGAAGATTAATATTGAAATAGGCTCGCTCCCAAAATAGGTAATTACTGCTATCAGGTACCCCCCAATGTCAGACGTGGGCTCGCTACTGTGGAACCTCGCCTATGCCACGGTCCTGCGTTACGATTTCCATGCTATCGTAAAGTTTGCTTGCTATGCTGACAGCACGTTGGTGATCACCAAATAACTTCACGCGCATGAACTGGAAGTCGACGTAATTTAAGCCCATGAGTTGGAAATGGTAAAAGCGATGCGGGCACAATGCTGAGGCACTAATAATTCCAAAAACTGGCACGAAACAGCTTCACCCGACTTATGCGTTCTAGTAGATGGGTTTGAAATCAGGGTGGGTCGTATCTATATACCACGGCCTCATTCTAGACAGTCGCTGAAATTACCACAACTGAAATGTTAGTGAGTGCCATGTATACAAACTGCTGCTCCATCTAAGAAGACCGAAGGAGAAAGTACCCCATCTATGAGCGAATAGGCTGGCCATATGACGTTGTAGAGCTAAAATCTAGAACGTACAGCGGCGAATACGGACTATACGAGGATATCGTACGATATCTTTCGACACTCCTGGCCCGCTTTCCACCGCTGGACATACTGACTGGACATATGCACATAAACGCGTTGTCTCATTACCAGAATTTTGAAGCCTGGATCAGTGACGGGGTAAAAGAGAAATCTTTCGTCTTATGCACATTGGGCATGGGTGATTTGGTGAATATTTGTCTAAAATATAGCACAGAGTGATGATAAACTGTTTTTATTTCGATGGGAGAGACCACCACTCCGCAACCTAAACACTGTAGCCAGCTTAACGTGGGAAAAGAAGTGAAAAATCCTGGTGAGCCCTATCAAACAGAACATTTTCCTGCCAGCAGTCGTATCGGTCTTACCGCGAATACCATTGGACCACTAAACGCTTGGTTGATCTCCACCCCTTTGTTGTTGACAAACCACGCATTCAATCAAAATGGTTTGCTTCATCGTTCATAATGCGTACATTAAAAAGGTAGAATAATATGTCAGCATCTTTTTTCTATGGAAGAGGGGGCAAACGTGCTTGCGGCTCACCTAATGGTAAGTGACTATCGCCGCCCATGAACAACTGCAACACAAGGGGAATTGCAGGTGTGTTGCCGGTATTTAAGGAAGGAGTAAGCTCTTTTCTGTTTTACATCCGATTATAATGTGGGTGTCTTGAAGGTAAGCGTGAATAGAATTGTGCGCTTCGCCATCTTTGCCTACATTAAAACGCACTTGCCATCAGGTGGGATAGCAGTCAAGTATTGGCTTATAATAGTTAAAAAGTTTAAGGTGGACGATCGTAGCTACGATTTGTGAGTCAGTAGCGGTGCAGAAGGAGATTGCTCAGCGAGATCGCAAGAGGGTTAATTCTCTTAAACATGATGGTGTTTACTGCGGTGTATTTTTTACCAGAAAGAGCCTCTAGGATCGCGTGCAATTCGGTTTGGAGCTCCAAAGCCTAGTAATCTGACACCTAGGAGGACGATGACTAAGAAGTGGCTCCGAGTCGTCGTAATAACACTGCAAGGGTGCTGGAGGTTGTGAGTACTGTCGGGACGTGCAGTAATGGATGGGTTACAGTTGCGTTTCGAACTAAATTTCTGAGACCTATTGCCTGCGCTGATGTCGATCGTCGTGAGGTTTTAGCCGGTAACAGTCAGGCATAACCTATCGTTGCACCAGCAGCGGATGTTATTTATTACTCACGTCTGGCTGAGCCAAACAACCTAAAACATACATTAACAAGATGATATGTTCCATCTTTAAAGTAACAGTTTGGAGTGGTGGCCGTGCTTAGGTAAACGCAAAGTAAAAACGGCAACGGTTAGGGAAATGAAGATATATCGTATACATAAATTATTGTTTCTCTTAAATATGGTCATTATATATCTATTATATTAAATATTTTCTTTCTATTTTCAATTCAACAAATTTTATATTTCAGGTGTTATGGAAATACTTTGGTGAAATCCAACCTCTGAAGCTCCTGGGCCGTGATACAACCTCGATTGGTCAGAATATTTCTACAAAGGCTATTGGGACAATGGAACGGGAGGTAAGTTTTGAAATAGTCATATTTTACAAGTAAAAATTGTAAAATGGATACTTATGAAAATTGAAGTCGAAGAATATTTTTAGGTCCTGCGAGTCCGATTTTATTGTTTAAAAAGGATGTCACTTCATATATAGGCTGTGAATTTTTTTAAAACGATGACATAGACTCCAAATCAATTTTATTCGACCGTATATTATATTTGAGAAGTGAATAGTTTAAATATGAAGTAAATAGTGAGAGCAGAGAATCGGAACTACATGCACTTTTTCTCGTCTGCCTACGAAAATTGATCTAGCAATTATTTTATGCTCCGTACATTACTGCTATTATAATCATCAAGGCGCCTTTTATTTTTATTTTATACTCGTATTATTATATGATATCATCAGAAATTTCATTTACGTTACAGGATATCACTAGCTTGTACAAGTACCCTGAGCGGACATGGGAGGAACGTGAAACGATGGAAAAAGCCCTGCGTAAATCGGAAAGTATTTTCGCGAGATATTATCTCAACGATGCCTTCAACGACGTTATTTTCGACTTCGAATTGAAAGATGATATCAAAATTGGTCAAGACTTTAACGTAGTAAGTATTTTAATACCTGATTAAAACAAAATGATATTGAAGATTAATACCTTTATTATACCCCAGATCTAAGTCACTAATAATATGTTTCTTTTTTAATTTCGCCACCTATGAACATACCAATGAAGAGTAAATAAATGAGACCTAACATTTTTGTTAAGAGTGGTTTTGTCACGTTCATTTAAACGAAAGTTACGTACTATAATTTTGTTTAAAAATTACACATAGATAAATAAGGAATGAGGTGTTATGTTATGGGGAATATGCAACTTTTTCTCAAATTGTATACTTTATCTACATGCGGTGTACTTTGTTGATTAACGGACGACATGACTCTGGTGCATTTATTCTAAACGTTACAGACTGGTTATGGAGACAACATCACCAATTAGAGATTGTCGGTGGAAGGTGTGGCTTCTTGGGAGGCCTATGTTCAGCAGTGGTCTTAAAAACAATAGCTTATTGGTTTTGCTAGCGTTAACGTAAACAAAACTGTAATTTCAGGTTCTGCACATGAAGAATCGATCAACGGTCGATCAGCACCAGGTGAAGGGCGTACTGAGGGTGGACACGGTCACTTACACGGGCAAGACAGGGGATGGCGTCAAGCGAAAGGAGTTCGACCTAAAACTGGCACCAGAGGCTAAGGAAGTGATTTCAATGCTCGTCACATTCGACGAGTACTTCAAGAAACTAGTTGATCAGGTAAATTTCAGGAGATAATGCTAAGCGAAAGAAGTTCAAACAAATCGCGTTTGGCAGGGGGTGTGGCGTAGCGGCATGAATACGTGTGGTTGTCATAGGGTGGATGCCCATAATACCAGCCCTGTCCCTAATACCAGACTTTTCACCTTTTAATGCATACATACATACATAAACACTCACGCCTGTCACCCATAGGGGTAGGCAGAGACTACGGACTTCTATTTAGCACGATTTTGGCACACCTCTCTCGCCTGCTTTACATAGATGGATAATGGATACGGTATTAATGGCGTCGGTAGAAGTCAATGGTGAGTACATCACTCGCCTTCGATTTGGCGACGATATAAGTAATAGTCCTTATGACAGAATCACTGGAGGACCTAAGCACTATGCTCAACGACCTTAATAGTGTCTCCCAACGGATAGGTCTTAAGTCATCTTAAGACCTTCGATTTGCCGACGATATAGTCCTTATGTCAGAATCGCTGGAGGACCTAAGGACTATGCTCAATGACCTCAATAGTGTCTCCCAACGGATAGGTAGGTAGGATGAACATGGACAAAACAAAATTCATGTGTAACGTCCATGTCACACCTATTCCGGTAGTAGTTGGGAGCACTAAGCTCGAAATTGTTGAAGAGTATGTTTACTTGGGACAAATAGTCCGACTAGGTAAGTACAACTTCGACCGGGAGGTCAATCGACGGATTTCACACGTCTGGGCAGTGTTCGAGAGATTACAACACATCTTCTCGTTAGGCATACCACAAAATCTCAAAACTAGATTGTACAACCAGTGCGTGTTGCCAGTGATGACATATAGATCTGAGACGTGGTTCTTCACTGCTGGCCGTATAAGAAAGCTTAAGGTCGCTCAGCCAGCTATGGAGAGGGCTATGCTCGCGGTTTCTCCGCGTGATAGACTTAAAAACGAGGATATCCGTAGTAGAACCAGAGTAACCGACATAGCCCAACGGATTAGTAAGCTGAAGTGGCAATGGGCCGGCCATATAGCTCGAAGAACCGACAACCGATGGGGAAGAAAGGTTCTCGAGTGGCCTCGTACCGGCAGGCGAAGTGTAGGGCGTCCCCCCGCTAGATGGAGTGACGATCTGATTAGACATGCAGGAATTCAATGGATGCAGGTGACTCGGGACCGTGCTTTGTGGCGTTCCTTGGTGGAGGCATATTTTTAGCTGTGGAGCTGTAATGATGATGATGATGAAACAAATGTTAGCATACTTGGTTGTATATTACGTATATTATCTATTCACACAAAATTTTTACAATTAATGTAATAATTTTTTCTATTCTAGGCTTCATTCAACATCGCTTGCCTAGCTTCAATTGTAGACATTAATTTCGACTATTTCGCACAAGATGACTTCAGAGTTCGTAATCCTGACATAAAGATCGAAATCAATGGTAAACCAACCTCACGGCAAGAGTTCGAGGTAACTGTGAAGCTCGAAAATCCGTTACCCATACCTTTGAAAAACGGCAAGTTCTACATACAGGGACCTGGATTGGACAAACAGCTCAAAATTGAACTAAATGAGGTGAATAATGTTTATTCAGTGTTTAATAAGTTTTACAAATCAATACTTAACTATAACTTTAAGGGAAGTTCTTTTAGAGGGAAATAAATCAGGAGATGGACAGTAGCGTTTTCCTAATAACGATTAAAAATAAAAAAAAACTGCGGTTGCCAACCCGCTTGCCAAGCGTGGCAACTATGGCAAATATCCCCCCTATGAGGCTATCTATGGGGGAGGCCAGTATTCAGCAGTGGACTTTAATAGGCTGTATCGGTAACGGTATTAATGTTGATACATAAAAATATTATATTTCGCAGAATGTGGCTCCAGGTGAATTTGCGACGGCACAGTTTAAACTTACGCCACCATGGGCCGGTCGTCATCAAATATCAGCCAAGTTCACATCGAAGGAGATTCAAGACATTGATGGCTTTAGATCTTTCATAGTTTCGCCACCAGCAGAGAGCAACGGTATATCATCATTTGAAAATAGTCACGAAACTCGACAAATATAAGAATTATATAATATTTAATACAATGAATACACAATCTGAGAAAAAATTGTGGTGAATGTTTTGTGAATAGAGTGTATATTTATTAGACAATATCTGTGCTATGTTTACGTAAGAATTAAACGATTTATTTTTTATAAAAAACCGTTTAGAAAAGTTTGACCACCGAAAAACGACAAAATTCATTATTATTATTGGCTATAAATAATGTTTTAAATTTTATACTTGAATGTGCATTGAACTGTGTACCTACTGCCATTGTTATAAGGTATAAGGGAGAAATACCCGTTGTTGTAGCAGCTGTGCATTTTATAATAAACTATAAGTCACTTCGGGAAGTCATTAGTAAGGTTTAAAACCGCGATCGCCAATCTGTATAACTGATGAAACCTTAGTCCAACTTTAAGACTATTTATTACAGGCTCGTAAAGAAAAAGTGATAATTAAGTCATTTCACTCTTGTAAATAACATTTAGATTTTAAGTTATTTTAGGAGCCCTTTTTACCTGTAGCTGGTGGGTCGACCTGTTAACGGAACCATGGGGCATTTATTTATCAGCAGACTAGTGACATTAGTGATTACAATTCGATTAATACTTTAGAATTCTAACTACATATATCGATAGAAAATGAAACCACAAATCTAACCAAAATCAGTTAGATATAATCATGTTTACTTTACTTTTTTAACTCTACTTTACTAAATTTTTGAAATAAATCAGATCTCTAAGAAAGAATATGAATATATTAAGTAATATAAGTATGTAACTATTTTAATTTTTCTGAGTTATACTCGTATATAGCCTGTTATTAATTACATCAGCACTGTAGTGTGTGGTTATCATTCCGTTACTCTCGATTATTAAATGTGTTCGAATTTTTGTCATTAGTTTTGCCTTAGTAAAATTAAAATAGTTTACACGAAAAAACGACACTATTCCGATGATATCCCGAACGTCAGTCTGAGCGAGATTAGAATGGCTCTCCAGCACCTTAAAAACGGCAAGGACCCAGGCAAGGATGGAATTACAGCGGAGCTTCTGAAAGCAGGTGGAAAACCTGTACTTGAAGTCCTTCAGAAGCTCTTTAATTCCGTCCTCCATGGTGGCATTACACCGGAGGCGTGGAGCAGAAGTGCGGTGGTCTTGTTCTTCAAGAAAGGTGACAACGCTCTCTTGAAGAACTACAGACCGATTTCCCTTCTGAGCCGCGTCTACGTGCTGTTTTCGAGAGTCATTACGAATCGTCTCGCGCGCAGGCTTGAGGACTTCCAGCCTCCCGAAAAAGCCGGTTTCCGAAAGGCCTTTAGCACCATAGACCACATACATACCCTTCGGCAAGTTGTACAGAAGTCCGAGGAGTACAATTTGCCACTATGTCTGGAGTATGTGGACTATGAGAAAGCCTTTGATTCCGTTGAAATTTGGGCGGTGCTGCAGTCCCTTCAGCGGTGCTAAGTTGACTGTCGGTATATCGAAGTGCTGAAGTGCTTGTACAGTAGAGCTACGATGGCTATCCGAGTACAGAACCAGAATACGAAACCTATCCAATTGCAGAGAGGTGTAAGACAGGGTGATGTTATATCCCCGAAACTCTTCACCGCTGTATTGGAAGACGTTTTCAAGTTTCTGGACTGGAAAGGATACGGTATTAACATCAATTGCGAGTACATCACTCACCTTCGATTTGCCGACGATATAGTCCTTATGGCAGAATCGCTGGAGGAACTAAGCACCATGCTCAATAACCTCAATAGTGTCTCCCAACGGATAGGTCTTAATATGAACATGGACAAAACAAAGATCATGTTTAATGTCCATGTCACACCTATGCCGGTAGTTGTTGGGAGCTCAGAACCATACCTCACTAGTGTCTCCCAACGGATAGGTCTTAAGATGAACATGGACAAAACAAAAGTCATGTGTAACGTCCATGTCACACCTATTCCGGTAGTTGTTGGGAGCACTAAGCTCGAAGTTGTTGACGAGTATGTTTACCTGAGACAAATAGTCCGACTAGGTAAGTCCAACTTCGACCGAGAGGTCAATCGATGGATTCAACTCGGCTGGGCAGCGTTCGGGAAACTACGACACATCTTCTTGTCAGACATACCTCAAAACCTTAAAACTAAATTGTACAACCAGTGCGTGTTGCCAGTGATGACTTACGGAACTGAGACGTGGTCCTTCACTGCTGGCCGTATAAGGAAGCTCAAGGTCGCTCAGCGAGCTATGGAGAGGGCTATGCTCGGGGTTTCTCTGTGTGAGAAACTTAGAAATGAGGATATCCGCAGTAGAACCGGAGTAATCGACATAGCCCAACGGATTAGTAAGCTGAAGTGGCAGTGGGCCGGCCATATAGCTTGAAGAACCGACAATCGATGGGGAAGAAAGGTTCTCGAGTGGCAGCCTCGTACCCGTAGGCGAAGGGTAGGGTGACCCCCCACGAGATGGAGTGACGACATGGTAAGACATGCAAGAAGTCGATGGATGCCGGTGGCTCAGGACCGTGCTTTGTGGCATTTCTTGGGGGAGGCCTATGTTAAGCAATGGACTTATGAAAGGCTGTAACGATGAATGATGATGATGACACGAAAAAAATATTTACTTATTTAACAGCACGTTCAGAAGAGCATATTATTTACTAGAGGTCTGATTTATTGTAAAAACCTATCAAAACATGACAATATTTACTTATTACATAGTAAAATGTATCTAACTATAACTGATAGTTCATTATATGAAGCCGGAGTTTCATCAAGTGACGACAACAATCGCAAGTATAAATTATAACTGATGGTTCTTATGTTTCCAGAGAGTCAGAGTTCTAAAGTGATCGCATTGTAATATCTATTGTTACTACTCTAAGGGTAAATAAAATGACCCGTAGACTCGTTAACAGGTTGATCCATCGGGACTACTTTTTTATAGAATAACGGAGACAAGCGAGCACAAAGCCTATCTGATTATAAATGGATACTGCCCATAGATATCTACATCTCTCCTCGATTAGGAATCAACACGCAGATGTGATGCTATCCCTGAGGACTAAGATAGAATTCCTCCTATCCAGTAAAAAGCGTCTCCGGTTCTCTACATTCACCATACGAAACACAGCAGCATTGAACTGCTATTTTACGCTGGTAGAATACGTATGAGAGCGTGATCCTTCGCCGGTCGAGTCGACCCATTCGTGCTACAACTATAATATGGCTCCCAAGATTGTCCGTGGTAGAGTCATGCTTGCTCTAATACATTGCTTTTCAAACTGGGGGGCGCGCCCCCCTAGTGGGGCGTGACAACATGTAAAGGGGGGCGCAGAGCCGCGGGACAAACGCATACCACCACCCCCGCCAGTCGGTCAGTATTGTTCGCCTTGTAAACATTACACGTGTTTTTTTGTCGCAAAAATGAAGTTAAGTTTATACCTTTTGTTTCGTCATGAGTTCGGCCAAAAAACGTAAATATAATGAGGATTATATTAAATACGGTTTTGTTGTTATAAAAAAAGGTGATATCGATCATCCGCAGTGTGTTATTTGTTATGAGGTATTGAGCAATGACGCCATGAGACCCTCTCGTCTGGAACGACATTTGTCAACAAAACATAGCAGTTTATAAAGGACAAGCCGAAGGAGTTTTTTGCATCAAAATCTGCGAGCTTGAAACGTTTGAAATTGGATAGTACTGGATCTTTTGCGAAATCGTCCGAGAAAGTGCTTCAAGCTTCTTATGAACTATCGCTTATCATCGCAAAAGCAAAGAAAAGTCATACTATCGGAGAATCACTTATTAAACCTTGCTTGTTAAAAGCAGCTGATATCATTCTGGGACCAGAAATTAAACAAAAATTTTCGCAGATACCCCTCTCTGACATCTGATATAAAAAAACAAGTGATAGAGGCCGTGAAAGAATCAACATTTTATGCAATACAGTTGGATGAGAGTACCGATATAGCACAATGTTGTCAACTTTTGGTTTTCGTTCGATACATTCAAAACGAAACAAAAAAAGACGAATTGTTGTTTTCTACAGAATAAACGACTACCACAAAAGCAACTGATATAATGACAGCAGTTTCTGATTTTTTTGCGAAACACGAACTGTCGTGGCAAAAGTTAATGGGTGTTTGCACAGATGGTGCACCGACAATGCTTGGGTCTCGCTCAGGTTTCGTACAATTGGTGAGAGAAAAGAATCCTAATGTTATTGCTATTCACTATTTCATACACCGTCAAGCCCTGGCGGCCAAGACACTTTCAAATGAATTCAACGCTATTTTAATATTATGCATAAAAATTGTCAATTATGTTAAAAAGAGTGCTTTGAATACTAGACTTTTTACGGCTCTTTGTGAAGATTTGGGTACAGAACATAAGACTCTGTTATTTCATACTGAGGTGCGCTGGCTCTCAAAAGGAAATATGCTGACTAGGTTATATGAGCTTCGAGATGAAGTTATTCAGTTCTTGGATAATCAAAAACAAAGTGAATTATTCGTAGAATTCAGAAAGCTAAAACTTCAAGTGGTATTTGCTTATTTAACGGATGTGTTCTATTCATTAAACTCATTAAACTTAAAACTGCAAGGAGGAGATTCAAATATAATTAATCACCGAGATGCTATCACAGCGTTTACTGAGAAGTTGCTATTGTGGAAACGTAAGATTTTAGCAGACAATTATTCGTGCTTTCCTAAATTATATGCAATCACAGAGAACAAATGTTTTATGGAGTTTTTTTGCGAAACCGACACTAAGACCGAAATATCGAACCACTTGCAGCACCTCAGTGATGAATTCAAGCGCTACTTCCCAAACTTGTGTGATGACAATATTTATCGATTGGCGACGGATCCTTTTCAGGTTGACATAGACGTGCTGCCAGAGCTACTTCAAGAACAAGCTTTAGAAATAAAAAATGATTCAGCTGCCAAATATGATTTTGAGAAGATGGATAAGCAATTATTTTGGGTAAAATATCTCAAAGTTTATCCCAATATA